GGTCGGTGCGGGGTGCCGGTGCGGGCGGGGAGCGGAATGGGGGGGACATGTGACGCCGCGGTCATGGGTTGCTTGGTGCAAGCTCCGGAGCGTCCCCGGGAGAAGGGATAGGAGTAGGGGCTGCGGGTGAGGCCGGCCCTGGCTGCCGTGTGCGAGGAGACCTGAGCAGTGTGGCAGCTGTGCGGGTGTCTCCTGCTGCCTTCCAGCGCTGGCCGCATTTATCCTGCTTAGGCCTGTTTTGGCCGTGCAATTACGGGAACGTTGTTCATCATGGGCGTGTTGGGTTTTCTAACAGTGGGAAGCTTTTGCTAAAGTTTCCTCATGCCGTCTGGAGCAGAAGCTGTCAAGTAGCCTGGTGAGGTGGAGGTTGGGGGGAATTATGCCAGCATGGGAGCGCTTCCCCTTTTGCACGGTACTTCTGTGGGTGGGATTTGGATGGTGAAGTGAAGCCTGTAACTGAGGAAAGTAGAACAATGTAAGAAGATGGTCTTCTCTCTGTAGGTGGGTGATGCCAAGCACAGCCATGAAGAAAAAGGTAAGAACTGACAGGAGAATCCTTTGCAGTTGGATGTTCCTTCCCCGTCTGCATTGGCTAACGTTATGTGTTTGCGTCTGTCCCTCAGTGGGTTCTTTGCCTGTCAGGTGCCTCTTCAGGCTCTCTGAGTCAGCTGATGCATCCTTTGCTTAAAGTGCTAGAAATTAAAATCTGCTTTGAGTTTATTCGCTAGCACGAGTGGTTGGGCAGGCTCGCCGCAGAGCCATCCACGGTAACTGCTGCGTGAGTGTTTCTGGTACGTGTTGCAAAACCCTCTGCTCGCTGCGTACCTCCCGTGGCGTGAGGGAAGAGGATATGTTATAACCTGCTCCGCTGGCCCATGGGGAGAGACCCTTCTGATGTGCTACAGAAACTTGCGTGGGGAGCCTGTAATTCGCTGAGGGCTCCTGGGAGGACGAAACTTAACATGGATGGAGTTGCGCTTTTTCTGAGAATTGGCGGGGGGGCTGGGCGTATTCCAGCAGTAAGCATATTTAAAGCCATTAAAGTGGCTGTGTAGAGAATATACGTCTGTCTTTCCATGGTGTGCTAGGGTTGGATTTCCTGCCTGGCCCTGCGTGCTGATGTCTGACCCCTTTGAGAGGCCTCTGCAGTCTAAAACCTGGGAATTGGGTTCACCTCTAGGCTGGCTTGGGCTGTGCCTTGGAGCCATATTGAGTTTCTGCATGTGCTTTTTGTGCAGGTGGTCTGAAATAAGAGATGCTCATGTTCTCTCTTTCTGCTCTGTGTGTAGCTCAGGGGAGAAGACAGTGTAGCTTTCTGGGGTTTTGCTCTGGAAAGGCTGGTAGGTGTGACCTGACCAGCCTGCCTCTCTTGAGGAAAAGCTCTCGTTGCCAAACCATCAAGGTGTGTGGTCAGCTTCTTTTTGGAAAGGGTGTTTGCCAGCCTGTGAAACGTCGCAGTTGCCCTCAGAGGGGTAACTTGTGCAACCAGGATGGCGGGATTCTGTCTCTGCCCCAAGAGCCTGGCAGTCGCAGAGCGAGGTTGAGAGTCAAGCAAGTGCCTTCCCAGCTAGCGTTTGGCACTGGTGTGGGCTGGGCAGGCAGACTCAGGCCAGTCGTGCTCTCCTTAAACCTATCCTTGATGATAGATTTTCAGGGCTGTTGCCAAAGGCTGAATTTGACTTTGTAACTGGAACTTGTTTAACAGCTGTTTTTGCGAGCATGTCTGTGTTGGCTGTCACTGTTGGGGCTTTTTATTTTTAGATCACAGTGTAGAGTCTTGCTCTGCATGACTGTCTCCCCTCTTCCCCCAAATCATCCCCTAGTTTTTGGCTACCAGAGGTGCTACCTCGCCTTCGGCCCGATGATCTGCAAACTCTCTGGAGTCAAGTGTCTCCCCTACACAATAGCCTGGTGCGCTTGAACTGGGCCATCCCATCTGCTTTTAACTTTGGTGGTCTTCTGACACCTGAAACTTGAAATGTAACTTGTATTTCACTTCTGTCAGAGAAGAGAAAACAAGTCACCTTATGAGAAGGAAAAAGCTGAGATTAGGAGAGAAATAATGGGTGGACAATACCAGTGCTGAGTGGGCAAGGGATTGTTTCCAGCCCGGTCTTAAAGGCTTGAGATAAAGCTGTTCTTTTGTCTTGACAAACTCTTCTGCTGTCATCAAAAGCATCAAGCCTTTGCCTGTGGTGCCAGCACATTTGGAAAGTGTGCGGGTGCAAGGGGCTGGGGATTGGTGAGGCTGTGGCAGAGGCTCCTGCTCTTCCCCGAGTGCTGGTCATGAATTCCATGAGTCCCCTGCCAACATGTGCTGGGAAAAGGGGGGTCGATGGGCAGCGGCTGTGGGCCGGCTGCGCTTCCTTCTGGGTGGGGGGCAGCTGAAGGAAGAGGAGTGTGGTGCCTGGTGGGGCAGAGATTCTCGAGAGGGTGGGAGCGTAGTTCAAGAATGCAAACAAGATGGAAAGGTTTTCAGTCTGACCATGATTCAGTGACTGTGAATAGCAAGGAGGCGAGGATGTCTGTCTCCTGCGTTCCCAAGCACAGTTACTCTTCTTTGCCTCTCTTCTGATGCATTCACATCTGAAATATGTTGGTCCTGTGTTTTGGTGGCTTCGGCAGGAAGATGTTAACCCCGAGGAAGCCATGAAAGACCTGGTGCTCTGTGGCAGCTAATTCTTTCTTCTGTTTTTTTTTTTTTCCTTCCCAGGTGCTGCTGATGGGTAAAAGTGGGTCTGGGAAGACCAGCATGAGGTCCATTATCTTTGCAAACTACATCGCCAGGGACACACGGCGCCTGGGTGCCACAAGTAAGACTTCTCTTGTTTGAACTGCAAATTCTCAGGGCTCAAACCCCCTTCATTAAAGGGGCGAGGCTGTTCCCTCCAGCGATCCCTGCCTCTCCTCTGCTCTGGAGTAGGTGGGTGTCTGCTGATCCTCCCAGCCGCCACACCTTACAGGGAGCTTCACTCCTGAGTTCAGCCGAGGGTAGGTAGGAAGCTGGAGTGAAAGGGAAAGCAGCACTGGCTTCAGTTTTGCTGCTTTCTTGTTGAACTTTTATCCTTAATTCCCTTTTTTTAAATTGGGAAGCAGCCTTTGCCACTGCTACACCTATTACGGGAGGAGAGTTCAGAGCCACCTCATGGTCCTCCTCATTGGTGAAGCTTTCCTTGTCACTAGTGTACCTGGACACACGGTGATCTTGCTGTGCGCCTGTGGTTTTCACAGGATGATGCACTAGGCTTAATTGGTGTCTTCTGCCTTATTTTTTTTTTTTCCCCTCCAAAGCCATCTGAAAAAGCAAGAAGTGATTCCTCTGAAGCAGGGCTATGAATTGTCAGGATCTAACCCTCCTCGCTGGGAAGCGCCTGTGCAGACTTCATGTCACGGATTGCTGTACGCTCCCTCTTTGACAAAAATTGGCCTGTTCATAAAGTTTACATTCTTTGTGTTACAGATTTATTTTTAAGGCTTGCTTAAGGCCTTGCAGAGAGTGCTGGAACCAATGTAATTCTTAAAATATCGCAAAGATCAGAGAACGTGTTGTTAAAGGGGAACCACCTGCTGTGCTTCTCGGGAGAATAGTGTCCTGGGTAGGGAGTAGGAAAGCTTGAATTACTCTGGGACCTGTCTCTTTCCATGGTGCCTTCAAGCTACAGATTCACGTGCAACAGTGTTGTTCAGATGGGATTTTACAGATTGTGGGCTGTGAAGAACGGCCTTTTTGGTTGCCCGAGGAGGTAGCTCTGATCTGGGTGTGTGGTACGGTTGGTAAACTGCTGTTGTCTCTTTCCAGTTGATGTGGAGCACTCCCATGTCAGATTTCTAGGAAACCTGGTATTAAACCTTTGGGACTGCGGAGGGTAGGTACTGTTTATTCTTTTGCTTTTGAAACTGCTGGGGGTTAGCTCTGGGGAATAAGGCTGAGGATGTAACAAAACAGAGGTCCTCCTGCCCCAGAGAGATGAGCACGCTGCTTGTGAATGAAGGGAACGGAACGAGTGTTGTGCATGCACTGTAAAACTGGTGAGGTGGCTCTGGAAAGAATGGATGCCACATCTTGGGTTTGAGCGTGGAGGCGGGTGGAAGAGGTCGGCAGGATTATCCCGTCTCTTGAGTTATTCCTGCATAAAAGGAGCAGCGCGTAGGTCCACCCTTCCCTTGCTGGCTGCTCTCTTCTGCTGGCAAAATGCCTGAGCCCCTCACTTGGACTTTCTCCTGAGGTGGAAGGAGGTGGTGCTGGTTTCAGAATTGCTTATCACCAGCTTGATTCAAACGGGGTGCCTGCTGAGGAGCGATGCTGAAGGTTGACAGCGATCCTGTGGCTCCTGGAAGCAGCTTTTTGAAGAACGCTTTCCCATGGACGGAGCCTCAGCTGAGCTATCCACCTTTGCCGAGCTTCATAAGTGCTCATGTCCTCATGCATTCTCTGAGCCGTATTCAGCAGAAGTTAAAGGAGACTTAAATCCTGTAATAAGAGGCTATGCTTGGTTGGTTTTGGTTATATTTTAGCTTCTGCTGCTGTGGCTTTTTTATATGCAACTCTCCAAAAGCCAGCCTGGGTCCAGAAGCGACGTAAGTCCGTTGGCCCGGGACACTGAGCAGCCACGAGGGAAGCCTCAGCTTCCTGTGAGACTGGCAAGCAGATGCTTTTCAGGAGCATCCAGCTTTGCTCCATTGGAAATGCTTAGGGAGCCTTATCTCACGGGGAATTTAGCCACCTGTGGGGTTCTTACCTAGTTTCCTGCGATGGGATCTCTAGCTCAAAGTCATAGAATTGTTTAGGTTGGAAAAGACCTTTAAGATCAGAAAGTCCAACCGTTAGTCCAAAATGCAAACCTTGCCCTTCTGGCAGAAGGGATTTTACACGCAGCACCTTTCCTGACAGTGCTAAGCAAGACCTGCTTGCTCTAACGGGAGTCTCCTTGCTTTGTTGCTCTGCTCCTTCTCAGACAGGACACCTTTATGGAGAACTACTTCACCAGTCAGCGGGACAACATCTTCCGCAACGTAGAAGTCCTCATCTATGTCTTTGATGTAGAGAGCCGTGAACTGGAGAAGGACATGCACTACTACCAGTCCTGCTTGGAGGCAATTCTTCAGAATTCTCCTGATGCAAAGATCTTTTGCCTAGTGCACAAGATGGACTTGGTGCAGGAGGATCAGCGGGATTTGGTGAGAAGCTGATAGTTGCCATAGAAATGCTTTCAAACAGGGCATCTTTTGACTGTGCTAATGCATTGTGATTTCATACTTCAAATACAGCCCCATCAGCACTGTTCCTCGAAGGGTTTCTCTAAGAATTGTCAAAGCCCTCTAAGCTTTTTCTGCCTTTTCTAAATTGTGTATCAATGATATCTCTTGCATATAATCTACTGGACAGCAGAACTAATGATTTTTAGTGACAACTACTTTAAGCCTTTTCTTTTGTAGCACTGATTCTAGTACTTTCACCAGACCTTGACTCCAGAAAGGGAGGTAAAACTGAAAGAAACCCAGCGATCTTAAACTTGCGGCTCACTGTTTGGATGGCTTTGCGGATGGTGGTGGTGACAGTGACGATTGGTTTCTCTTTAGCGGTTGCTTTCAGTCCAGCATAGGCTCTGTTCTAAAGCATGACCAAAACCAAACAAACAGCGTTGACTTTCCCAGTTGACTTAGAAGGTGGTTTCTGTCGTTGATTCTGTTCTCTGTTGGTTTGACCTGCCCGCCCAGGGATCACCTCTTAAGCACTCCTCTGCCCCAGGAGGCATTGGGTGAAGGCTGGGGATCAGCCTTTCAGAGATGTTTGGTGTTTTTTCTGTTCTTTTCGGAGCTTTTGAAAGGTTGCAGGGAGACTGGAAGATGTTGAGTTCCTACCAACCTTGCTTTTTTAGCTTGGACTGAAAAGCAACCAACTCCTGATACCAAAAGAAAAAAATATTAGCTTTGTGGGTTAGACAAGTACAACCCTGGCTGCTTGGCCACTCCCTGGCTTGCAGCAAGCTTGCAGGCCCCTCTAGGCTGTTGGCTTTGGTCTGAAGTAAGAAGTCTTACTAAACTTTCTTCTGACTCCTGCTGAGTATGTGCCTGGGCAGCTGCAAAGGATGGCATGCAGGGTCCTGCGGCTGAAACCACACCCTGACCTCCCTGCATCGACAGGCTGCTTCCACGCAGCAGGATGGCTTCAGATCACTCACGCTGCCCCAGAGTAGTGCTCTTCCTCTTCCAGTTTTAGTTCTGCCCTTCAGCTCAGTGCAGAAATAGCTCAAAGGGCTTGTTTGTAGGGTTGGTTCAAGGAGCTTCTCCTCCCTTCCATCTGCCTTCCCACCAGACTGAAGGACAAGTCCAAGATCTTCTTGATGCCGTCCTGTCCAGATTTGTCTTGTGACTAGTGGACAAATGCTGGTTTTGTGTAGTTGAGCAAACTCTAGTGAGGCCCTGAAGTTGAGGGGAAGACAGAAGAGCGGCCTCGCTTCAGATGTGCTTTCAATGTGTATCACTGCACACCCATCAAGATCTGTTTTCAGGTGTCTGCTGCTCAGAAGAACACACAAGTACTGGGCCAAATCCCTATCTCTTTAAGACTTACTGAAGCCTTTGGTATCCCAGGACCCAAGTGGTGAATGTTGGCCTACGCAGTGTTTCATGGGCATCACTTAATGTTCTGTCATGTTCCTAAAAACAGTAAGCTGAGGTGAAGGTGGTCGTTGTGTCTTCCCTTGCAGAGGCACGTTGCTGGCTGTCCCGCTGCTTTTTTAGCGGTTCTGTAGGAGCCTGGCACAAGGCTCTCTGGTCTTTGCTGTTCCACTTGCTCCCCTTTTTTTGCAACCATAACTTCTAAGGGCAGAGTACGGTGTGAGAAGAGAAGGCTGTGTCAGTATGTGCCTCAGAGCTGTTCATACTGACAGCCCTCGAGTGCTTTCTTCCTATCCTGTTCTCAGTGACAGAGCTTTTTGCTTGTGACCAGGGACTTGTCAAAATGTAGGTCCTCTGAGACACTCGTGCGTGTCCACTTCCATTCCCGCTCCACAACACCCATAGTTATTTCAGCTTTGAGTCCCAATCAGATCTGTTGCGAGACAGCCAAGGTCTGCTTGTCCCTGCTGCTCCAGTGGATGGAGTTTCTGCCAGCCTGCCTCTGCTGTTGCCTTTTCTCCAGTGCTGTAGGTACTCGAGATTTGTTTGAAATGCATGCTGTAAATGCAATACAGCAACCACACCAAAGGCAGAAATATTTACGCTCAACTGCTAATGTTGTTTATTATTTCCCAGATTTTTAAAGAGCGTGAGGAAGACTTGAAGCGCCTTTCCCGTCCCTTGGAATGTGTTTGTTTTAGAACTTCCATCTGGGATGAAACGCTTTACAAGGTTTGTACAGCTTCCTCTCCCTATCTGGCTCCCCCCCTCCCACTTGAAAACGAGAGCGTGGGCAGGCGAGTGGTTAGTTGCTACTGGTTTGCTAGTGACTGGCCCCTTTTAGTTCTGCAGCAAGTACTTGTGGAGGTTAGCTGTTGTGAATGGCATCAGAGCAGCCCGGTTTTGACTAACAAAAGTAAAACCCCTCCACATGTTGGAGTCACGGTGTCAGTATGTTAATACTGCTTACACCCTTCACCTGGCTACTTCAGAAAGAGCTGCTGCATCTTTTAGTCATGTTTATCCAGCACAGAATTATTTTCCCCTGTTTCTCTGCAGCACCGCAACAACACGAGCATTTACCTTCCTGGGAACTTGCTTTCGGGAGGGGAGGGGTGGTTTTGCTATCAGTCAGTCTTGTCTGCAGAGGTCTTCCAGGTGTGGGAATGGTGAGTGATACCTGGGCTACACTGGTATCAAATGACTGTTATAATTGCCAGCTAATGCTAATAAGCAGTGGTGGTAGCCTAGTGGCTGGCTTGCTTGTCTGAAGGTAAGGACCGTTTGGCTCATTCGCTTGACTTCAGTGGGACATCAGGTTTTCACCATCCTGACAAATCCATCCAAAGCTGTAGCGAATTCCCCTGCCTTCAGGCTGGGATGTGTTTGGTTGAGGCTGACACGGTACCAGACATCACTCTTCACAAAGCACGTACTCAGCTCCCTCTCAAAATCCGCGGTGCCATACCCTGTCTTCCTGCAGGCATCCCTAACTCTCATCCTGTTTCCCTCTTTGAGCGCCTTGTGTAGAGGCAGACCTGGGCTATTCTAGACACGGCCCTGCCAGAGCTCTTCAGAGCTCGTGCCCTTGGCTTGGGCTTTTACCTTGGCGTTCGGCGGGTGGGATGGTAGGAGTGTTTGGTAAATACCAGGTACTCAGTAATTAGGAGACACAAATACCCGCCCTGACTCCGGGGGAAGCATGTGGTCAGGCGCTGACACAAACCTGGGTCAGCAGGTAGGCAGTGAGGAGCAGCTGAGCTTAGAGGAGCAGAGTCTGAATGAGGACAGACGCCTGTTACTGCATCCCCAGTCCCTTCTGGGCTTGTTCCTGACTCACTGGGCTAGATCAGAGCTTTCTGTTGACATTGGTTATGAGCTGCCAAGCATCCATCTGCATGTTGACCTTGCTCAAGATTAAAAAAAAAAAAACCAAGCCCCTGAAAACTTGAGGGTTTTTTTCTGGGAGCAGTAAATGGAAGCATTGCCAGCTTAAAATTATTTCATGGATTATTTAAGCCTGTTTAATAGTAGTCTAGTTTCTCTGTGACCGATGTGGAGAACAACTTGACCTGTTGAAGAGTTTACTCTGGTCTGGGGTGTCGCTGCTAGTCTCCACTGTAGTAGAGATACCTGGACACAGAGGTGGGAGAAGCTTCTCAGTCTTGCCTAGGCTGTCAGTGCCCAGAACAGCAAATAATCAGGTTTTGAGCACATTGCAGAACAAGAGGATGCGGCAGAGAAGTGCGAATGCAGCCCTTACGTTGTGTCTTTCTTTATTGACAGGCTTGGTCCAGTATAGTCTATCAGCTGATCCCCAATGTCCAGCAGCTGGAAATGAACCTGAGGAACTTTGCTCAGATCATCGAGGCAGATGAAGTGCTTCTGTTTGAGAGAGCCACTTTCCTGGTGAATACAGCAGTTCTGCCCTTCGGGTTCCTCTGCCCAGCCTAGGACGGAGTTCCCTGGATGGAAAGTGCCGTTGTGGCAGTAGCCCAAAAGAGAGGTGCCGGCGCCAGATGGCAGAACGCATTGATCTAGGCCTTGTGATATTGAAAGTAGCCAGCGTGACTCCGTGGCTCGTGGGACCTTCCCAAAGTTTCCACTCCTAGCAGTTGAGCTGAGGGCTTGATCGGTGTTTCCCTCTTCCAAGCTGTGAGAGGGTTTCATATCCCCGTTCTGTTGTCGGCCATGGGACTTTTTTGAGAATTCCTTTCTGCACAGGGCAGGAACCTTTAGCTTGAAATAAGCCTTTTCAGTTCCTCCTGGCCTGGCATTTTAACTGGTCTTGATTTCTTTTTTTTTCTTTATTGTCTGATGCTCTACAAACCCGGAGTATGGATAGAGGATCACAAGCGGTTGGATTCCAATGGCTTTCGAAGTTACCGGCTGCCTGGTAACTGTGCTTCCAATCTGTTGTCTCTGCAAGGTGAACCGTGTTGTTAAACCCACCGTTGCTGCCTGCCCGTCCATACTCTTGGTTTCTGGCTTGGTCCAAACTTGGTTTCTGGCTTGGTTTCAGGCTTTGCACCAAAACTCTTGCTGACCTAAAGGAATGGTTCTGAATTTTTTTTTTTTGAGTCCTTTCCTTGATGGCCAAATGTTTGATTTTGAAATGACGGAGGGAATGTGGAAAAGGAGCCATTACTTTTCTCGCTTCTTAAACTACCAGGAGTAAAAACGTGCTGCTTCTGGCAAGTTCTGCTTTTTGACCTTTTGTAGATAATAAATAGTTCCACCTTGGTGGTATGTAACAGTACTTTTGTTGTAAGTACATTTTTTACTGAAAAAGAATAATCTTTGCTACAGAAATTCTCTGCTTATTTTTGGTATAATCGTGATTTTTTAAAAGACTCTTTCCTCTCGCTTCTTTTGTATATTTAAACTTCCCCCAGGACTCCTTTCTCCTGAAGTGAAATCTTGCTCTGAAATTGTATTCAAATCACAGTAACAGAAAAACCTATCTGGAAAGTTAAGGAATGAACATGCATACAATGAAGGCTTTGGTATGAATTGTAGTCCTTGAATCTAGCTAAACCTGTACTTGTACGAATAATTGGGCAGGTTTAAAAAGTAGTAAGTACATGATGATCTTCTTAAGGTGCTTGGGGGGGGAAAAAAAAACAAAACAAAACAAATAAACCTGAAAACTTACTTCTCGCGAGCCTGTTAAATGTGACTCCGTAGGTAGGAAAGTAAGAGTTCAACATCCTTGTGCAAGGGCATCTGACACTTCCAGTAGCAGCTGGTGTCGTGGTTCTTAAGAGCCTAAAGCACACAGTGTAAGGCTTTTAAAATACTCCTTTTTGGTTTGCTGTGGGAACAAAGATGACGTAACTCTTTGATTGTGTGCCATTCCCCTTATGCAGTAAATGCAGTTCCCGGCCCGTTAGCTAATGTGGCTGAGGAGTAAAGGTGTGAAGCCTTGTGAAAATGGTCAGGGAGAGGTGGCTGTGGATCACACTGCAAGGATTCCTAAAAACCTGTGGTCCTCTGAGTCTTTGCAGCCAGGCACTAAGGTCTGCACGTTGCTGCTGGATTGCTATGTGGGAGGAAGAGGAGGGGAACCGATCTGAATGCAGGCAGCTTAGCACAGTCTTGGTCTGACTCAGTTAACTGATGGAGAGAGAACTCCCTAGGAAACCAGCTGCCTTTGTTCTGCTTTTTTTGGGGGGGAAGGAGCGGCTTGCTTTGGCTTGGAGAGCAGTGCTTGTGCATCCTGCGTGTTGCAGAATGGGAAATGCTGCAGGTTCGGTCCTTGAGAATCCGCAGCACGACAGACTTAGGAAGGGAAAAGCTATTCCAGCGTTCGTCAGGTGTCTGCTTCCCCTACCTGAGGTGATGGTCTTGCTTTTTTTTTTTTTTTTTTCATCTCCTTGCCCTTTTTCTTTGAATCAAGATTTAAATTGCTGCTAAGCTGGAGGATTCAGACCTCAAAGGGACAATAGTGTCTCTTGCATATCTAACTTGTAGCTGGGCTTGTGAAAGGCTTCCTGGGGATTGTAGTACTGAGTCGGGCTTTACCATTAAAGCAC